TTTTTTTTAAAAACATACTGCGGGGTGGGGCGGGTTACGGGTTTGGATTAAAAATTTTTGAAAACCTAAAACGATACTCTCTCCTCAAAACTAAAACCTAAAAGGCTAAACCCAATTCAAAAACGCCCTAATTTCTCAAAGGATTTCTCCACAATGATATTTTAAAGATTTTTGACAATTTGAAATCAAAAACTTCTAAGTTGTTGGAAAAACTCACAAGTAAAATTGCAATCACAATTGATATGTGGACTTCAAACAATACAAAAAAAGGGTTCATGGCTATTACGACACATTTTATTGATGATTCATGGAGGCTTCAAAACCATATTCGTAGATTTATTTATGTTCCTGCTCCACATGATAAGGATACTTTGTATAGTGTGTTGCTTAATTGCTTATTAGAGTGGAATCTTGAAAGAAGAATATCAACAATTACAGTTGATAATTGTAGTACAAACAATGATACGATGAAAACCTTGTTAGATGAGAAACTTTGTAAGAGGGATTTATTGTTGATGGGTTGAATGTTGCATGTGCGATGTGCCGCACACATCTTAAATTTGATTGTGCAAGAAGGACTAAAGGTAATAGAAGATGATATTAGTAATGTGCGTAACAGTGTCTTATACTGGATAGCATCTTCATGTAGAATTAAAAGGTTCGAAGAAGCTGCACGGTTGCTACATATTCCTTGTACTAAAAAGTTGGAGTATGATTGCCTTATTCATTGGAACTCAACATATCTTATGTTGAGAACAGCCCTAGATTACAAAGAGGTATTTACGAAGTTGAATTTAAATGACATCAATTATCGTTGTTTTCCAACCAAGGGCAATGGAGTGCAGCACATGAAGTTTGTGAAATGTTGAAGCTGTTTCACCGTACCACTGAACAATTCTCAGGGAGTCAATATCCAACTTTAACCCAATACTTTGCAAAAGTTTGTGATATTAAGCTAGAACTGGAAGCTTGGGTAAAAAGTTTAAATCCTTTGATTAGCTCTATGGCATCATCAATATTGTTGAAATTTAAAAAATATTGGGATGATATGTATATTTTGATAGGGGTAGCTACTATCTTTGATCTGAGATATAAGATGAAGTTGGTTGAGTTCTATCTTGCACAGATTTTGTTGAAGTTTGGCAAATTCTTTGTCCCACATCGGTGGGCTCTTGAGTTTGGGGGGGGGGGGGNGGGATTTTCCCCCTATAAAAGAAGGCCTAATGTTTAGGATTTATACACACCTCTAATTTGTCTTCTCATCTGTTTAAGGCATTTGTATCTTCTCTCTTTAGTATTATTTCACTTGTATTTTTGAAGTGGAATAAAATATTGGTTGTGTCCGAGGAGTAGGCAAAATTAGCCGAACCTCGTAAATTCTGGTGTTCCCTTTATTGTTGCTTTATTGTCTTATTTATTATTTGGTGGCTGTCATAATTTTTGGTATAGTAG